TATTCAATTGCACATGTATTCATAAATATGCACAAAAAGAATTCATATGAATACACATTCTGCATGTAAACTGTATAGAAACATAAGTAAAAGAGCGAACATGCGTCTGTTAGAGCAATATATAGTTTTGAGCATAATTTTTATTTCACGCTCAGCTCTGTTCATACGAAAATGTTAAAATTTCTCCTGCCGAGCTGGCAGTGGTGAAACTGGCTCATCTCGACCGAGTTAGCCAAAAATATTTTTACGATCTCCGCGCCGTGAACCTTCTCTATGATAAACGTTCTCTGGTACTAATATACTTTACACTTTATTACTTAATATTATTATATAATATTACTAATACATATATGTAATATTACTTATTTGCTTAATAAATTTAAAAAATAAAATATCCATATGCATAAATAGAGGAATTTTTGCAAAGTAGAGGAATTTCAGCGAATTGCCTTATCATCACATGGCAGCGCTCCATTTCGTCGTAATTTTTGGTAAACAATATTATAAAATGTAATTTTTAAAATGCTAATTTTTTACGCAAAAAACCTGCTAAGAGTGTAAGATATGGAGTTATTTACAAGTTTATAGTGTAATTTAATTAATTTAAGGTCGAATATCACCTAATATATTTTTTATATCTATATCCCTATATATTTTTTAATCAGGAGGACTTCCTCTTTCCAACGGTACCTTCAGATCGCGGCGCCAAAGAAATCGGAATTGTGCCGAAATGGTCACTAGACATACTAGACTTATATTTCATAGCAGACGAAAAATTAGAAATCCTGCGTTTGGAGTTGACGAAACCATAGAACAATTTTGGATTACATATAATATTATATTATTTTTTACTTTATTTATATAATTATTAGAATATTTTGAATAGTCAACTAAACTAAACCAGTTTTTTTTTTTTTAAGTTTAAAAGCAGGAGACTTTCTATTCTTTCATTTACATAATTCTTTCGAAAACCATAAATTAGAAGGATCGTCTTTAGTATACCATCCCACGATTTCGGGGTTAAAAGTGATATGGATGGATAGGGCTGATGCTCCAAATTAAGAAAATTGGGGTATTCACAACCTGTCTTAAATCGTAAAATCGTAAAATTTTAAATTTTTACACTTGTTTAAAAAAAATTTGTTGTTGGATTACATACAAAAATGAGTTTACACATTTACAATTCTCAATACTATGTTTTCGAATCGTTAAAACTTATAGCTTTAAGAGACATGTGAAACCCCTAATTTTTATTTAAACAGTTGTTAAAATTTTAAATTTTTCGACTTTACGATGCTTTAAGACAGGTTGTGAACGCCCCAAATATATAATTGTTGCCGCCGCAAACTTATAGTTTTCGAGATATATGCATTTAAAGTTGAAAGTTTCGCAAATTTAATTTTGTAATTTCTCGATCTATAGTAACTTTTAATATTTTAAATATTTGCTAAAATAAGCATTTTATATTTTACATAAATATTATTACCCGCACAATAACAATAAGTGTTCCGTGTTGTCAAATCATAAGTATTGCCATATCTACACATTTATCAAACGAATAAAAAATAGGTTTATCCCCAAAATACATAAATCATTATCTCTTTTCTTGCTATAACATGAGTAAAAAGCAAGTTTTACTCGAAAAAAAACCTTATACACCTGATGTTGGATCGGCCAGGGTTATTTTTTTGAAGCGCGGCCGAATGCCGCCAACCCAAAAAGGAGTTTCACAAAAAAAACCTGACACACCCTGGTGTTGGCGCACCCCGGTGTTGGATCGGCCAGGGTTATTTTTTTTTGAAAAATTATTAAATGCAATTAAATATATATATAAGCCTTAAAACTTTTTTTACTACAATGGAAAATTTATTTCATATGATATTTGTGTTTTGCGTTTGAGCTTTCATATTCATTTTTATTCGTTTGATAAATGTGTAATTATGGCAACACTTATTATATGTCAACAAGGAATACTTTTGTTATTGTGCATGAAATGAAAATTGTGTAAAAAATAAAATGCCTAGGTTAAGCAAATAACTAAATAATTACTGTAAAAAAATATGTAGAAACAATGTAGTAAGTGCATAAAAAGTGCATAATATGAAATAAATAATTACTAGAGATCGAGAAATTGCAAGATAAAATTTGCAAAATTTTCAATTTTAAATGCAAATATCTCGAAAACTATAAGTTTGCGGCGGCAACAATTATATATTTTCTTAATCTAGAGCATCAGCCCTATCCAACCATACCCATTTTAATCCCGAAATCGTGGTATGGTAAACTAAAGTTTCCCCAATTAGAACTCATTTTTTGAGAAACAATACACTTCGGTACATATTTACAAATCAGTTTAAAATAGTTTCATTAAAGTGGGAAGCACTAAATTCAATATTGCCACTGTAATCTGGCCAAGTTACTTTAGAAAGTTCGTAATTAATCTTCTTAAAATTAACTTTCGCAAAGTTAAACCGAAAACAAAGATTTTGTGTATTATGTGCGCTACACAATGCTCGCGACCGACTGCAGCAGTACGACAGTGAACTGAAAATGGCGTTGTGAGTCCTACTACATGAATATTTGTGAGACGGCAACAACATATCAATGGCCGGGATGTACACAAGACAACACAGCTGTCCATTTTGCATGTACACAATTTCGTTGTGGCCATACTAATATCTTGCACTTCAATGAAATTTTAATATTTT